CAGTTGTTTTGACCAATCACACGCGGTCTTTCGAACCTCCAGGCGGTTGAGTCCCGACGCCATCACGATCTTCTTCTGGTGCTTCTTCTTTTCCCTCCGCAGACGCTCACCTGCCAAGTGGATTTTGGGGGCTCGGGCTGATCAGACGAGCTGTTTCTGTGAGTTTTACCCAGCTGTTGCTTCCAGTGCCCGTAAAGCAACAAATTAGCCCCCCAAAAGGAGTAACCGCTGACTGCCTTTGGCCCCCTTCAAGTAGATAGTTTTCCGACCCAAAGACGCATCACATATTGCCCTCTCCTGCTTTCCAGTTTCAGTTCGTGTCTGCCTAGGCACCTTTCAGCCGCACTCAGAAGGTAAGCAGAGTTTTCCTTCCTAGATATCTCTCTCTCTCTCTTTCCATCGTCGAGGCGCGGACGAGAAACACAGCACACAGAGGGCACACGGACATTCACCTGCAACCCTGTCACACCAAAGCATATCCCACATTTCAGCACATCACTGCCGCCCCGGCCCCTGTCCAACTCGTCGCTTCTCGCTTGTCAAGGGAAGCCCCACTCTGACCGGCCCCTAATTTGGCGCTGCTTTAAGCAACTATCACATTGGGCTGGTCCAACAGCAGTGCTTGTTCGCTCACCTCACCTTTTTTCCCATTCTCTGAGCTTTTGCCTTCTGTCCTGGTGCTTTACACCACGATTCTGCCGGAAGGATACACAAGACGACAACTTCCCGGATCATCACTGGCTAACACGTTGTGTCTTGTTTGTTATTCAGACCAATCCAATCAACCCTACTCTCAACACGCACCCCACCAGGCCTCATCGCGGGCCGGCCTACCTGAACAAACGAATAACAGTGGCTCTTGCTTAGCTCCCGCCGACCTGTGAGCCGGGAAGCCCAAAAGACAGCCCCCCGAGTCCCCAGACCACTGCTCTGGGATTCAAAGATACAGGGGTACAACTCCTAAACACCTGCGCGGGGGGAGCTGCTCTTAGCGCCTGCTGTTTCGAGGGCGGACCCTCATCCGTTTGACCCTCCCCCGGCTCGCCTCACCGTCTTCATATACTTAGGCATTTGCCTGCCCACCCTCCTGCACCCTTTCTGCACCTCCGATTTCCCTTCACCATTGCCGGAGTTCTCTCTCACCTTTGGTCCTCGAGGTGAGTTGACGGGTCGCCAAACACACAACATCCCACCCGGAGCCAGATCATCTACCATCGCCATCATGTCGTCCAAACCCACCCTCACGATATCGACGCCCAAGACGGCAAACTTCCCACACATCCCGCCTCCGCCTCATGAGCTTCGGTCTGCCACCTCTCTTCCCTCAGCTACTCCTCTGTCGGCCGTCTCCAGGACATCGGCTTTCCGGGACCCAATTCCTTCCTCTGCGCTCCCATCGGCCGGTTTGCCTTCCGCCGGACCCTTTAGCGCTCTTTTTTCTGCTGGTCCGTATAGCGCTGCTCCGTTTAGCGCCACCATCAAGCTTGAGCATGACCTCCAAAAGACGCCCATCACACCTCCGGTAGCATATACCGACTTTCTCAGAGGAATGGCCATGGTCTCACCAGCTCTCGCCTCACCACCACAGACAGGAAAGTCCGCTCTGAACCGAACCAGCACTGTCAGCACCGCCAGCAGCAATCTCAGCACCAGCAGCACAAGCAGCAGCGAAACAGCCGATTCTGATGACTCAGAGAAGGACAAGGGCGAACAGATCGACAGTGGCCCATCAACAGCACGCTCAGATCTCAGCTGCGGGTGTGACGAGAAAGTCAAGGTGAAAGAGGAGGAGGTGGAAAAGACAAAAACTCCCAGACCTGCTCCCATCGATATCAAGCTGTCCAACGCCCCACGAGGTTCTTCGAACTGCCCGCTTTCTGCTCCCGCCGCTGGGGCGAACGCAACAGTATTCCCAAGCATGAAGCTCCCTGCTTCTCCGGCCATTTCCACCGCAGGCCTTTACTCGCCAAGATCACCACTGAGCACTGCCTCAGTCAGGTCACCAGCGTTTGACTGGGAGGCGGCGCTCAAATCTCGACGGTTGGCGCTATCTCCTGGCTTGAAGCGCCCCGCAGAACCAGAAACGCCCACCACTGCCGCTAGCGCACCTGCTGGTGGTGCCGCGAGTACGAGCAGCCCACATAAACACGCAAAGAAGGATTCGAGATCGAGCGTACGACATATTCGTGAGGTCGTGACAAGGACAGTGACATACACACCAAGAATGGCGCCAGCGCCAAAAGGCAAGAGGAGAAAGATCGACCCAGAAGCCAGCATCACCGCCGCCAAGTCATGAAGTCCCAAGAGCGAAACTTTATGGAAACCAACCACATGATGTTACCGCCACAAGGAACCGGGACCATGTTAGAATAATACCACGGATGCTGCGCACAAGCCAGCCATTAGCACCATCGCCGCCATCTCTTTTGTTTTACACAACTACCGCACACCACAACATAACAGCGCTTTGCGGAGGCTTCATCATCTCACGAATGGACGAACACAGCTACAAAAACTTCCTTTTTTTTTTTTCTTTTACTGGCGTCAAGGAGGACAACACACTATTGGTACTACTATCTAGTCGGAGTTACTGGACAGGACAAGACTTCTTTATGATGGAAAGGGGTCACCGGGCGCAAAGAAAGGGAGACGGGGGGCGGACAATCTGGCGTTGCAGGGCGGCGTCATTTTTTTATCGATACCAATACCTGTTGGGAGAAGGAGGAAGATATATGGATTGGGAGGGGTAGGAATTTTCCGGGATTGTCCTTTGGACTGGACTGGATGGATGTAGCTTAGGCTTTAGGTCTAGCTTTTCTCGAGTATGACACACGGGTTTGTCAGAAAGAGAATTGGGAATGAAGTTAGGATTCCTAGTAAATACTTTGTACCTGCTGTTTCCATTTTCTTTTTTTCTTTCTTTCGTGTGAGAAGTGTGTTATCGATCATGGGCGGGCGTCGACAGCACTGCCTGTAGCAAAAGCTGTTTGGTCCATTTCTCCATCCGCCCCTTTTTCACAAATTAATTTTTCCCAGGAGCTTCGATACAAACAAACCCTAAAATTACACTGATTCGAGATTTTTATGCTGGTCCCTGGCGGTGTTGGTGGTGATGATCTCCAAGGCCGGCCAAATCCCACGACCAGGTGTGTATTGCGCACATGTGCATCATCTACCTACCTTTAAACTTGCGGGATCTAATCTCTCTACTAATGTCTAGGCGAAAATCTTGAACTTTCTTAGACATGCAATGCCCAGATTTCAACATGTTGGTTTGCTTGCTTGTTGAGGAGGAGGCAGACAAGCAAAAGTGACAGGCAGGTGACAAGCTGGATGCTACGTATGGTGTTATTAAGTGGTTGGTGTCATTTTGGAGCTTTTTTGAGGTTTAATGAGGGGCAGCAGCAGCAAGGCGGTTATAGTACGCAAGGTGTAGTTTCTGCTTTTGATCATCTTCATTCAAGAGTCCTTCTCCTTCGTCAAACACAAAACTATTCTTAGGACTTTTATGATCTTCTCTTGAAAATGATGAGAACAAAACTGCGGTACCAAGTGCTCGGCAGCGAGCATCCCAAGCTGCCTCCTCCCTCCCCCCCAACCCAAATTCTTAAAGCAGCAACACCCCTACCTATCCCAGAACAGCCTAGCCTTGCCCCCCTAGCGCAAAATCCCCATAAAAATCCGCCCGCATGGTCATGCCCCACGGGCCGCCGTGACTGGTCCGCTCCCCAGTAACTACCAGGGTAGCTAAGCGCTCAACTCAACAGTCAGAGTGGGGCGGCATCTTTGCCCTCCTCTCTTTCTCTCTCTCTCCAAAATTTGTTCCTCTTTCCGTGTGTGTCGTCACTGCATTTGCAGCTTATCCCCCCTGGCGCGGACGCCGTGATTGGCTGGATTTGGGGGGGAGTTAAGCGCCCGGCGGGACTGCGTCCGGACCGCATCTTTGAAGCTGGCTGTTTGAGATGGACTTTTTTTCTTTTCGCTAGGATGAAAGGGCTGGAACGCTGATGATCATCGGGATAGGGGGTTATCAAGAATGATTAGATTCTAGGTGTTCGTTTGCTGCTATGAGCTTCCTGTTCGCTGTCCCGGTGATCTGGCTCATATCGAGATATCACAGAGCTTGCTGTTGCGTAGCAAGCACCCTCCTCCCCGAAGCCCTGCTCCGTAGGTAGGCATCTTTTTCCTCCTGCAAGAGAGCGGTTGACGGCATCTCTTGCATCGGAATTCGGCTGAGGAAGCTAGCCCAGAGACAGACAATCTCCCGCAACGGCTCTGATTTTGAAAAGGACACCACCTTGGAGAAAAGCCAGGGTGAGCAGATGCGGTCTCTCGGTGTGCGCAGCGCGCGTCAGCAAAGCACTCCGGAAATTCCCAGCTACCGCATCTCATTGGCCCTTCCCCCCAAATTGACCGTGCAGAAGATGATCTGGGGAGTCTGCCCTCGAGAGAGCCCACCCAAGCGAAAGAGATTAGATTGTATCTTTTTGCGTATTTTACCTAAGGACAAAGTCCAATCTCGAGAGAATGTGACGAAGCCGTAGCCGAGTGGAAGGGCAAGAGGGATAATTCGACTGAAACGGAACCCACAATCTGAAACTGAAACGAATCCGGGGGTCTCTCACGTCGAATCAATCCCCTGAATCCTGACGCCGACGGGATCTCTGCATCTGCATGTTTCGAAGGCGGGTAGAACGTTTTGAAACGAACCGTCGTGATGAACTTCCTATATTTGGGACTCTGTGATCTTGTGTTTCCTAGGCCTCCACGTGTGCTACCATGCATCCCAACTCTAACCCGGCGATGGTCTCTCCGCCAGAACCCTTGAAGCTGTGCCGCATGGAGTGCTTGAGGTTAGTAGCCATATGATATTGCTCGGTATCTCCGTGACGAACCCAGGACCAAGGAACGCATGTTGCTATTTCCATCTTGTCACACTTCGACGGAGGAGCGTGATGTCCTCCAGTAGGGCCGAGAAACAATGTGATGTGATGTTTCCATCACAGCAATGTTCGCACCTCTCGTGCCACGGCATTGCACAGCGCAACCCTCACTCCTGCGCCTGTGAGTACGTGGATCCATAGTCGTTGTGTATCACTGAGGCGGTCGTTTGCACTCTTGACTTCGGCAAACATGACCTCTCCTTTTCGGTCAATGTTGTTGTTGATGATGCCATCTCGATTGGTTTGGGCTTCGTCTCCGGCTGTCCTCCACAGCACGAGATCTGGCACACCGCCTCCGCGTGCCCTATAGTCTTCTGACATGACTTTGCATACGGCAGCAAGGGCAGCCCTGTTGAAACAGGAGACCAACTCTACCAAGTCCTCGATTTCAAAGTCCCAGTTCAAACCTACCACGCAGGTTTGCCTCTCATGCTCCCGCTCGTAAACCTCCCGCAAAATCTTCTCGCCACCACCGTTGGCAATCTCGACAAGCCGATGGTTGATCAGACTGGCCCGGGCTGGGTAGAATGCATCCGTGTGGAGATCGAGGGGGCATGTTTGGAAAGCCGTTTGGAAAACATTGGGAACATAGACGAATAAGATGTCGAAGAACAAGTAAGCAAACAATGTTCGGAGAATTCCACCTTCACTGTGGTAGCCTTTCCAGCCCTCGTGGCGATAGTATGATAGGCACATCTCCTCAACACTGACATGAGCTGGTTCTCCATCCTCGTCAAGCTTGCCTAGTTCGTCGAGCCACGTCGTCTTGGTGCTCAGGCCGCGGCCGTTCTTGCCTTTGGGATCCGGATCATCTCGGACCAACTGGATGCCCTGAACGTTATGCTCTTCCGGTTCCCGTAGCTTTACATGACCAAAGTCATGCTGCAGACGACGTGGCACCCGTAATCTCTTTTCAAGCTTGAGAAGGCGCTTTTGGAGGTCGTAGTGATAGATCAGGTGGCAGTCTCTATCCTCCAGTCCCGTCTCGCAGGTGATGAGGGCAATCTGTTGCCAGTGCTTCTTCTGAGTTTCGGGACTGGTTGACACAGGGTCTGGATCCACTTCCCACATGTACCGTTCCTCCAGTAAGGCCTTGCGTTGATACCACGATCCGCGGCGGGCTGGATGGAAGAGATGCTGACTGAGCAATTCGGTGAGAAGTGCGTGTTCTTCCCGATATCGGTGTAGACGGCCAAGGACGTAGGCAGCTTTGTGAGCGACCCGAGTGAAGGCGTGAGCTGCGTTGAATCGACGAAGGTAACTCCCTTCGCCAAACTCGTATACATGATTTTCGCGGTGCTGTTCCTGCCTGAGAAGTTCTCTCCATCGTTCAGCTATGCCCTCAAAGATATCGAGGACCTTGAGGAACCCTGCTTCACCTGGTGGGCCATTGAACTCGAGAACCTTGTCCACCTCGAAGTCTTTGCGCATCGAGAGCTCGAATTCCAGGAGGCTCTGGCGGGAGTCGAATATGTTGGAGGATCTGCAGACGATATAGTCTGGGTAGTTCCTTCGTGCAATCTTAGCCAGGATGATCGCCGTCAGTGAGTTCTCGGTCCATTCGGTTGACCGGTAGAAGACCAGATGAACACGCTCGAAGAGTTTGAAGATGGACTCGGAGAGCCTGATGAGTGGCCCTGTGGTAGCAAGTATCTTCCTGAGAAAGTGAGAATCCCTGTTTACTTCCGTTTTTTCTTGACTGTCTTCTGGCTCCTGGTCTCTCGAGGCTATCGATTCATTAGTATTTTGTCGACTTAGACCCAAGGACAGCAAGCCGGCCTGTCGAGCACTTGTGTGACAGAGCGCCTTGACTAGATCGGTTTTGTTCTTCCCCTTAACCTTGGCATCCTTTGCAAGTGCCTTGAGTTCGTCAAGACTCAACAAAGGAGTGGCGTCTGCCATAGTTTTGATGTATTCTTGAGAGTCATCCGCAAAGGTAAAAGTGTCGCCCAATGACCACACTTCGAGACCCTCAGATCGTGTCTCTTCTGGAGAATTACTGCTGTCACCTGGCAACTCCCGGGGCTCCAAAAGGTTCTCAATAGCAAGATCAACATCGGTGATATCGTTGCTGTAAGAAGACTGCAGTCGTTCCACGCGATGCCAAGAGGCAGTCTTGCGCAGAAAGAGACGTACATACCTGTACCTTGTCAGAAAGTGGTATGGATGATGGATTGAAATTGCACGCACAAATACTGAGTCTCATAGCTCAAGCCTCGCCATTGCTCAAAGACATGCTTCTCTTTGATATCAAACAAAGGCGATTCATCCTCCAAGACGGTCTCCAATGCAAGGTTGAAGGCATCGACATAGATGGAGCTCTTTCCTGGGACCCATTGCCGCTTTTCGAACCTGGTAGTGGTATTGTCTTCATCGATCTGTGGTTGAGAGGAGCGCATGGCCTCATACTGCTCTATCGCTTCTTTATCTATCGGGACAGCCGGCAAAGAGCTCTCAATTGCTGTTTGGCGTGGTGGCATTTTGGGGGCTTCATCCTCGCTGTCCCTGATACTCTTGGTCAAGGTTGGCAAGTCAAATTCATCGTCTTCATCACCGCTCTCCTTCAGCTCGGCAACCCTTCTCCGTTTCGTTGGAGTAGTCCGTTGCGCAGCTCCCTCAGGCCTCTTGTTGGAATTTCCGGATCCAGTGGCAAGCGGTGACCGGCTCGTGTTAGACTTGGATCGCTGCACAAAACGATCCATTGCGTATAAGAGAAGAAACAGAACCAAGGCTCTGTGGTATCATGGTGGATACAAAGAGAAAGAAGGTTGCATGTCCTCACTCCAGCCGTGCCTTTTCGGTAGCCATTCCACCAAAAAATGCAAACCAGGCAGAAGGACGAAAAGCGCGACCCCCCTTGTCCAAATCATTGAGCCAAAAAGCCAAACTAACACCAAATCCCGTGACTGCGTGTCAACAAAGGTGGGGCAATTTGCGCAAAGCACGAACCGAAGCTGGAGCTTCCAGACTGAGAGCTCCTCCACCAAAATCGCAAATCGCAATCGCATCATGACAAGCTACCTTGTCGCCGAGACTTGTCACCGCCAACCCTCACTCTGTTTGTTCAAGACCTATATACACCCGCCCCACAAATCTCAACAATGGCAGATCACCAACAACCTCCTCTCCCAGAAGCCACAAATAGCCTTGTCAACCCATCAATCGACACCCCCATGACCGATGCGCCATCAGCCCCAGTACGTCTCCCTTCCCACCCCCTTACAGCAACAAATCTCTAACAATGCCTCTCCCTCGCAATCAGCAGCAGCAGCAACAGCAACAACAACAACCCCCTCCGCTTCCCCACAGCAGCACCCCAACACCCCGAACAACCACCCCAATCCCTCTCCCCCACATCCCAGGCTTCACCGCGCCAGCAACAGCCTCCAACTCGCGCGCAACCTCCGTTCACCCACCAGAACAACAAGCTACTGTCCCCCCTCCAACCAACACCACCGCTCAAACAACTACCATCCCGATGCCCTCTGAACCCCCTCTCCACGGCGCGCCAGTTAGGCAGTACATCAACTCCAAGATCACGGGTGTTTTGCTGGAGGGTATGAAGCTCGTTGCCAGGGAGCAGTAAGTCCTCTTGTCCCACTGAGTGTATGGCAGGCGAGAAGGGCGAAGTGACTGATAGTACAATGACAGACCAAAAGACCCATTGAGAGTCCTGGGGGAGTATCTCCTCCAGAGAAGCAACGAGATTGAGCAGCAGGGAGGGCAAAAGGGGGAGTAGAATTTCTTCGCGATGTCACCGACCGCGCTGTAAGAAATGCGAAAATAAGAGGCGACTGCGGGAAATGGACAAGGTTCAACTTCATGAAGAGGAAAAGGCGGCTATGGACGGGAAATATGGCGTTCGGGCGAATGGTCATTGCAATTTCGAACATAGGAGACACCGAATTGGCATTTGGACTGCAGCAATGAAAAGCAAAGCATTGCGACGTGTTATCATCAAGGTTGACTTCGGCATGGCACATGCAATTCAGAGACCACACTTGACATAATATGAACTTGGATACCCTCCTGTGCAATTCGCAGTTTGTATAAAAAGATCTAGCCGTGAAATGCAAGTTTCCTTTCCATTCCCCGTGACTCCCCGACTCCGTATGGCCGTGTGGTTTACCAAACCTGCAAAAGATACACAAGGGGTATTTGTTATTTTCCCAGCCAAGAGATCCATATCACCACCCAATACCACCTCACCGAGAGGTTCAACTGTCCTCGGCTCGGCCGTAATCACCGTCTCATCGCTTAACCGACGAGGGTGCTGGCAGTAGAGGACTCGTACTTCCAGGTGGGGGGGAGGACACCGACGGTCTTGTAGTAACGGGCCAAACGGTGGATACGGGACTCGATGAGAATAAGGCGGAACTTGCCGTCCTTGTCCTTGCGGTTGCGCTCAAGGTGCTTGCGGACAGCGACAGCCTTCTTGATCAGGGACTGAGGGGGAGAGTCAGCAAAATCTATACATATTAGGGATTGGGGGGGTTCTTACGAAGAGATCCTCAGGAAGAGCGGGGGCAAGGCCTGCAATTCCATCACTCTGTCAGCACATGACCAAACAGAGGCATAATATATTTCCATCTCTTGTAGTCTTTTATCCACCTGGCGTCAACCGAGGCCGCTGCTCGTCTCGATCGAACGGACGGGGAAGCCGAGGACGACGTCTCGAGCAGACCGGTGTCTCGTTGCGCTTTCGTCTAGAGGTATTCCTGGGAGGGGTGAGTGCTGTTCACGACATACCGTTGCTCTTGAGGATACGGAGGATCTTGTTGCCTATGGTCTCAAAGTCAGCACCATATTCTACACTCGCTTCTCCAGTATTTCCCATCGTTCAAAAACATACCAGTAACGACCTTGGTCTGGGCAACGCCGTGGGAGTCACGGAGGATGACACCGATCTGGGAGGGGGTAGCACCCTTCTTGGCGAGCTTGCAAATCTGATCAACGACCTGCTCGGGGGTGGTCTTGAGCCAGGCGGGGGGGTTGCGGGAGTAGGGGATGGCGGAGGCAGAAATGCCCTTTCCCTTGGAGTGAAGACGACCCATTTTGGCTGGTGGTTTTTGAGGTGGTGATCGACTGTTGACGGATCGTTCGTTGGGCGGATTTGGCGCTGGCTGGTCGGTCTCGAAAATCAAGCAGAGGTTTCAACAGACGTTCGTGAAATTTACCCCAGGCCGAAGGGATATTCCGGACTCTGTGGGCGGAAAAATTGGGACCGCCAAGCTTAGGGTCATACTGTGATTGGCCAGACAGCTGACGCTGGGTCACGTGAAATGAATGTCCCACCGAACTCTTGGCGGAGCTTCGGAGCTGGTGGAGACTGGAGCTTCGATGTTTAAATCTAGAAATTTTTCGCAGCTCTTTCACTTCCTCTTGTTCTGCACCACACGACAACCACTGCGGCTCGGTCTTCTCGAGAAAGCATGCGTCGTTCCTCCCAACTGCGACGTGATACTTGCGGCAGAATGTACGGGGATAAGGCATGATTTTTTGGGGTCGACACAGGGACTGGTCCTGCATGGAACTCACAACAGCAGTCGACTCGACACACTTTTCATCATGGTACGTTTTATCACTGCGCAATCTGCACCTCCCCCCAGCCTTACATGATGATCAAACACATTACAATTATATTCTGGTACCTCTTATGCTAGAGTCCTTCGGGGCTCGATGATTTAACAGGACTTCTGATTTTGGCTCTCATCATATCATGTTCTTATCACCTGTCTCTGAACATGGCTAACATGACAATAGATCTTATGACTTGGCGTTTGCGAAATAGATGATTAGAGCCTTCATGGCTGTTTAGCATAATAACATGTAATAATTCATTTGTCCACTACTTCTTGATGCCTGAATCAATGCCTGATGTCTCTCTTATGATATTCCCTCCAGATCATAGCTTGGGGGTATTTAGGATCAATCCACAATCTCATCGAACACATCCAGCTCTTGGTAGGCGGAACGGTCATCACAAATCCTGCACAGAGCATCGTATTATCGGTGTCCAAATGCAACAAGATGATTACCGTACTGTATCACCGACTCTAACCGACTCAAATGCATTGCACTCCTTCCCAGACCTCGCTAGATAATTGTACATTGCATCTCTACCGTGATTAGAGAACTGCTGAACCTTTGAGTGACCGCTTTACCCTCCCGCCAGTTGGCAATCTACAACCATACCAATCCTCCCCTTCCGTGCCTTCTTACCACGCATTAACATCGAAGTTCTCCTGTGGTCATTGTTAGCATTCATACTCGATGGGCTCAGTAAGTTGGTAGGACATGCCTCGGGGAAATATGTCGTCACCACAGTCCGGTCAGCGAACTTCCGCCCGGCCAAAGCCCGAAGAGCCTTGTTGGCAGCTTCATGGTTCTCGAACTTGATGAAGATCTTGCCCACGCCGGCTGACTGTCGGCTGCCACCGACCGGCCGAGGAATCTTGAGGGAGAGGATCTTGCCAAACTTCTCGCACTCCTCTTGTACATCATCACGAATTTCTGGTTCATGACGTTAGCAACCCACAAAGTAATGATACAAAGCAGAAGAAGCGACAAACCTTCGTAATCATCGTTATCCATGAGCTCATCCGCAGTGACCATATTTAGGAGCTGGAGGACTCTACCGGCGTCATTGTCCGAGGGAGTAGTACCAGCAAGCATAGACATGGCGTTGACACTGAGTTCACCAGCAACCTGGGTGATGCCAATGCTGGCCTTCTGAACCTTGAGCGCCTTCTCTCCAAGCATCATGTTGTTGAGACCACTGATTGCAACATCCGTGACGCTGGAATCGGCGTACTCCAAGAACGCAATGCCCTATGCTATGTTAGAGTAGAACATTCAACTGACATGTCCAGAATGCTTACCCTTGGCTCTTGTGTGCCATTATCCTTCACAAACACAAACGACTTAAGCTTGCCAAAGCTAACGAGAAGCTCCATAACCTGATCTTCGGTGAGATAAGGAGGGATGTTGGTAACACTGATCTTGTTCGGGCCATCAACAACATTGGTTGATGGCACACTGGAGTCGGGGTCATAGTTGGGGTCCTCCACGATCGCAGGGACAATGTAATCCTTCGGCCGACGGATCTTCAACCCTGTGGCCGCAGCACCGTTTCCGTTCGCCTGGTGATCATCAGCATCCATCGTGATGCCGTCGAGAGCCAGCGCCACCGTCGCATCTGTATTGTTGCGGAACTCAAGCATAGCAAACGACCGGTCTGGGGAGATGTTGCAGAGAAGGCATGGGTCCGTCTGCTCAATGACGTTCAAGCCGTTGAGCTGTAGGTTAAAGAAGTTGACGATGCTGTCGTCGGTTGCTGAGGCGGGGATATTTGACAGAATCAAGCGCTTGGCCTGGCGGGAGTTCGTGGGCTTGAGAGCAGCGCTATTGACCGCTCCACCTGGCTGGCTCATGAAGGCCTGCAACTTCGTTGGATCCATGGCCTGCTGTCTGGGGGCTCCTGGAAGCGGGAACATGCCCGAAAGCTTGGCTTGTTCGGCCGTGACATTGTCGTATCCGGGTGGTTTGATATCCCATTGTGTAAGACGTCGTCTGCGTTCGAGGATCGGCACGATATCGGTCAAGTCGGGAGTGGGTTCGCGCTTCTTGGGGGGCGGCGATGCACTGCGACGGCGTTCCCTTTCCTTCTCTCTGTCGGCGTCCCTATCGCCACCACCGCGTCTTCCACCACCCCGGCGATCGTCGATAACATCCCGATCAGGGCGCTCCCCGCGGCGCTCGCGTCTCCCATCGTCGTCGTCACGCCTGCTTCTGCCACCTCTGTCCCGGTCCCATTCCCTATCACCGCCACGGTCCCCTCCTCGGCGATCCCGTCCTCCAGTGTATCGGTCCTCGCGCTCTCTATCACGATGGCTTCGGCTGGAAGAATATGCGTCGACATCTCCGCCGCCAGCACCTTCGTCGCGACGAGATCTACCGCCGCTACGATAATCTGGTGGGGATCTGGACCGTCTCCTGCTACCTCTGCTGTCGCGGGGGTCACCACGGTCGCGTCTATCGTCGCGATCACGTCTGGAGGACTATAAATTGTAAGCACTATCGCCGAGAAGAATTGTGATGCATGTAGCCAACTCACCTGATGATCGCGAGATGAGCCGTAACGACCACTGTCTATTGCGCGTCGGTTAGCTGCGGAGCTGCCCAATTGGACAGCAGAAAAAAAACAAACCTCTGGAGGAGTAGTTATCTCCGTTCATCTCTGCTGCCAGTCCCGGTAAACCAGAATTGATGTTTGGGTGCAGGACTTTCGGTAAAAATGGTTGCCGAAAAAAGCTGTGATGCGAGTCGTCAAGTCAGTCTCAAAGGTTGTCGCGAGGCTGGAACTTTTTTGGGATGGCGAACCTGGACCATGCGGATGCTTGGCACACTCCCCAGCTACACTAAGCCGAGTGGGGCCTAGCTCCAATTGCAGTTGCCCCTGGTTCCTCAGCCAGCAACATCTCCAGGCAGGCAGTGCGAGCTTGGTATATCTCTATTCAAAGCTCACTCCTGAGGTTCTTTGAATATTCCTCACTTTTCAGTCCAAAACTCTCATTCATCCCTTCCTGTAGCTCAGCGGAGCAATCTACCATCTCACAATGGCCTCCGAATGGCGAAAATTACCCCTGAGCCTAGCCGAGCTCTGTATCGACACAACCCTTCGCTGTGGACGTATGTATCACCGCTCTCATCCATCCACTTCATCACCACCATACTCATACCCCCTTTAGAATCCTTCCGCTGGCGTAAAATAAACAATGAATGGCACTGCGTCCTCTCCAACCGCCTCATCACCCTGACCCAATCTCCAACTCATCTCTCATACAAATCCACCCTCCCCGCCATCAACCCACCCCCACATGAAACCACCCTCCCCCTCTTACAATCCTACCTCTCCCTCGGCGTTCCACTCACCCAGCTCTACACCCAATGGTCCATCACCGACCCCAACTTCGCTCGGCGCTGCTCCTCCTTCACCGGCATCCGCATTTTAAACCAAGACGCCTGGGAAACCCTCATCTCCTTCATCTGCAGCTCCAACAACAACATCTCCCGAATCACCTCCATGGTGAACAACCTCTGCCTCCACTACGGCCCTTACATCACCACTATATCAGGGGAACCCTTCCATGACTTCCCCTCACCAGAAGCCCTCTCCGGACCAGAGGTTGAATCCCACCTCCGCTCTCTCGGATTTGGCTACCGCGCCAAATACATCGCCGATACCGCGCAAATCATCTCTCAGCAACGACCAAAAGGGTGGTTGGATCAAATTCGCAACCCGGCCGTACCACCAGCGGATAACCCCAAGTTTCAACCTGGGGAGAAGCCCACTTATCGCAAGGCACATGAGGCATTGCTTGAACTAACAGGTGTTGGACCCAAAGTGTCTGATTGTGTTTGTTTGATGGGGTTGGGGTGGTGGGAATCTGTTCCAATCGATACGCACGTCTGGCAGATCGCACAGCGAGATTACAATTTCGGTGGAAAGTCCAAAAGCAAAACTTTTACAAAGGGGATGTATGAGAGTGTAGGGGATCATTTCAGGAACATCTGGGGGGAGTACGCGGGTTGGGCGCAGAGTGTTCTTTTCACTGCTAACCTCAAGTCGTTTGCTGAGCAGGCGAAGACAGGAAAGAAGGGGAAGAAAGAAGAAGAGGACAAGGAAAATGCCGACGTGGTTGTGAAGAAGGAGAAGGTGGTAAAGCAAGAAGTGGCAAGAGTGGTGAAAAATGAGGAGTTGACGGTTTCGAGCACGAGAAAAAGAAAGGCTGTCAAGGAGGAGGAGTCGCAGCAAAGGGATGAAGATGTCAAAATGGAGGATGTAATGGATGGATTGACGCTTAGCTCGCAGGTGTCGCAGGTTTCGACGACGAGTATGACGACCAGAAGGGTGAGTAAGAGGATAAAGGCGAGGGAAAGTCAATGATGAGGGGGGAGTGGTGTACGATACAACGGGATGTAGGATGGTATCTTCAGCAACTTCTCCTGCTCGTTTAACTTGGAATAGAACACGCAGGAGCGTCCGGGTGTAGTTACATAATATTTGGATGACACACAATGCGGCACACCTGGGAATACAGTTGCTGAGTGTTTTGAGGAGCTTTCAACTGGTGGCATGGCGTAATGGTATAACGGGGCGCTCTTTTTCGTTTGCTAATGATCCATCAAATCATCTCGTCAACAACCCCACCCTCCACTCCCTAAACACCCTTTCCTTCTCCGGTAACAACCAGTTACTCTCATCCAAATGCTCGACCACCTTCTCAATAGCGATCGCCGGTAGGTTGATCTCCTGCGCCTCACACGTCACCGCTTCCAACATCTTGTCCGCTTCCTCTCGCGGTATCTTCTGATACAACAGCTTGATAGCTGGTCTTCCCAACGCCCCATTACTCGATGAGTACACAATATTAGCGTTGAGCACCCACGCGTAAATCACCGTCTGTTTGACTTCTGATTCTGTCTCATTAATGGGCATGATGAGCGACTTTGACGAGGCAGATCGCGAGATGGTGGAGATGATAGTCGCGGCCAGGCACTCAGTGATGCCTGGTGCTGAACCAGATGCGGACTTGCAAGACATCTGCCACTTCAGAAGGGTGACAGCTGCTGTCCGAAAGACGTAGAAGCCGAGTTGAGAGTGGCAGGAAGAGCAAAAAACATTCAAGCTGCGGTTGTTGGTCAATGGCAGATCTTGTCTATTTAATGACCCTTGCTCAAAGGCTGAGTTTGAGTACTAGATACATGTGTGTCAGCTACTGGCCGACTGGCTATGAACGAAACGAGAATGGGAATGGCATGTCCCTCGTGGTATCCCGGGATATTCTCGACTTATGAATCACCCGGTGAAATGCAGAGGTTCGTTCACCACCAGAAAGAAACAATCCGTCCTGTTAAGGAGGTTCGTAAACAATCCAGTGGTTTCTGTTGAACAGGTTGAACGATAGTTGCTTCATCTAGGGCACTTGTATCGGTAACCACGCCATTGGGAGGCAAAGCCGGCCGGGTTACCTTCTTCATACCCACACAAACACATACTCATGCTGTCATGTCAAGAACTTACCGTGATATTCGGGCAATCGCGTTCGGTAAAGAGGATCGTTGTCAAGTCAACAAAACCGACACCTGGTTGAGCTGAGATGATGGACGAAGCCCCATAGCCTCGAGCAGCCAGGCTCTTTTCATCTGCCTTGCCAAAGTGCTCATCACGGGAATGCCCGTGCTCGTGTCCATCCTCATGATGGTGATCCGGCTTGTGACAATGCCAGAATTCCATCATCTCGGCCCAGTTCTCACTTGGCAAGTCTTTCCAGACCTTTACTGTACCCTCCTCCACAACGACGGTATTGCAATTCCTGCAAGCGACCTGGACGCCGACGTCGAAGTCTGTCGCTGACCAGGCGGGGGTATCAGAAGAGAGATGCGGTTGGGGAACCGTGCCACCAAGTGGCAATCGCCATGACAGAGCCGTGGTCCCGTTTTGCCTCTGATCGATGGGAAGGAGTGTACTGCCAAGAGGTATCTTGGCAGGCAAACTGATTTTGTGAACCTCGCCATGATGTGTCAACTCGATGGTGCTTCCGTCAGCAGCCACAGCAACTCTGGTGGAGGCATCACTGGGCGATGTGAGAGAAGCGACCAGTGAAATTTGGCGGATATTGGCTAGCAGCTCTGCGTAAAGCGAGCAGCGACTGGAAGATGACATCGTAGGTACGAAGAGAACGAAACGAAAACGAAAAGAAGAAAAAGAATTCAAGTCGAACAAATCTCCATCGCTTTAGTTGTAACACAATGGGCCACAGCACCCAGCACTTGTAAAGAAATCAAGTCGCGGCTGATGAATTGGAGCTCCAATGCCCCAGTGAAGTAAAGTGAGGTTGTGAGCCTAGACCAGCTTATGTAACAGCGATCTGCTGCCAAGATCTTAGCGCGGCTCGCTCTTGGCCTGCGGCTGCGGTTGCCGCCAAAATTTCAACAAGGCAAAGTGCTTGCTCCATCCACGATCCAGTCTCACCCGCACGTCCACGTCCACGTCCTGACCCACGTTCAACGTCCATCCAACAACGACCACCATCGCGATACTCCCTCCCCATCGCCCCAAGAACGAACGAGCCATCCACTACCGATCGCGTCGTCACTTACTTCCTCACTTCAACAACAACCTACCCGAATGGGATGAGCACAGTGCCGTGTGGGCAGCAGTACCATGTCGGACGCGGAATTTGATCAGATTCGCAAGCTCCAGGCCGAGCGAAACGCGGCTGCCGCTGCGAAAAAAGGTTCAAAGACCTTCGACCCGGCCAATCAGCGTGCTGACTCGTCAACCAAGGCCAGCCTTAATGAGGCCTGGGATACCGACCTCTACGATCGAAGTGCCAACGGCGCCGACAAGTTTGCAGGCTATCACACCTCCCTCCCCGCTCAAGATGGCGACGACGATGAGGACATGGCCGACGCCGATAGCTCGCGCCGCCTCGTCGGACAGTACACTGCTACCCGTGCCCAGATAGATGAGTTTGCGCGTGGAAATGGAGTGGAAGAAGACGACATTCTCGCCGGTCGTGGCGAGAAAAGCAACCGCATCACAGATCGCGAGACCGATTACCAGAAGCGTCGATTTGATCGCGTTCTGACCCCTACCCGCGCCGACCCCTTCGCCGCCAATCGCCAGGCTGCCGCTGCTGAGGATGGAATGAGCTATCGCGAGATTATGGAGAGTCGCGAGATTGAGCGTGAGGAGGAGCGCGTGCGCCGAGCTATTGAACAGAAGATGAAGGACGGTCCCACTGAAGAACATAAGCCTACACTCCAGATTGAGGAGGCCGGAAACAAGGAGAACGGTGATGCCGGTTCGACCGAGGCAGCAGCCGCTGGCCGCAAGCGCAAAAAGAGATGGGATGTTGCTACTACAGACGCCGAGGCTGCCCCAGCAGCCGCAGAGCCCAAGAAGCGCTCGCGCTGGGATCAGGCACCTTCTGTGCCCGTTCTTGGCGCTGATGGAACTGTAGTAGAAGCAAAGAAGAAGTCAAGATGGGATCAAGCGCCGTCTGCCACCCCCGTTGGAAACATTGGTCTCGCCACTCCGATGCACCCTACACAAACTGCTGTTCTGCCCCCCACTGCGTTCGGCCCCGATGCCGGCCGGTACATGCCACTCAGCGATGAGGAGCTCGACGCTATGCTTCCTGGTCCTGACGAGGGATACAAGATTCTTGAGCCTCCCCCGGGATATGCCCCTACACGGGCGCCCACGCACAAGCTGGCAGTGCCACCAACACCACAGACAGGCTTCATGATGCAGGATCCTGAGAGCACACGTCTCTCTGGGCAAGCAGTTCCAAGGGAAATCCCCGGTGTTGGTGATCTTCAGTTTTTCAAGCCTGAGGACATGGCGTACTTTGGCAAGCTCACAGACGGGTCCAATGAAGACGATCTGACTGTCGAAGAGCTGAAGGAGAGGAAGATCATGCGCCTGTTGTTGAAGGTCAAGAACGGTACTCCCCCGATGAGGAAGACTGCACTCAGGCAGCTTACAGATAATGCTCGAAACTTCGGTGCCGGACCCCTCTTCAACCAGATTCTCCCGCTACTCATGGAGAAGACCCTTGAGGATCAGGAACGCCATCTTCTTGTCAAGGTTATTGACCGTATCCTTTACAAGCTGGATGATATGGTTCGGCCCTATGTCCACAAGATCTTGGTCGTCATTGAGCCATTGCTCATTGACCAGGACTATTATGCACGAGTCGAAGGTCGCGAGATTATTTCTAACCTCAGCAAAGCCGCTGGTCTCGCGACCATGATCAGTGTCATGCGGCCTGATATCGATCACGTAGATGAATACGTACGAAACACAACTGCCAGAGCGTTTGCTGTGGTGGCCTCGGCCTTGGGTATTCCGGCCCTGCTGCCATTCTTGGGAGCCGTGTGCCGCAGCAAGAAGTCGTGGCAGGCGCGCCATACCGGTGTGAAGATTGTCCAGCAGATTCCCATCTTGATGGGCTGTGCAGTGTTGCCACACCTGAAGCAGCTCGTAGACTGCATTGGGCCCAACCTCAACGATGAGCAGACCAAGGTACGGACAGTCACCAGTTTGGCCATTGCTGCTCTTGCCGAAGCCTCCAACCCATATGGTATTGAGAGCTTCGATGATATCCTCAATCCCCTGTGGACGGGAGCTCGCAAGCAACGAGGCAAGGGCCTGGCGGGGTTCCTCAAGGCCGTCGGCTACATCATCCCCCTCATGGACGAGGACTACGCAAACTACTACACAAGTCAGATTATGGAGATTCTCTTGCGAGAGTTTGCCTCGCCAGATGAGGAGATGAAGAAGGTCGTGCTCAAGGTCATCTCTCAGTGCGCCGCGACGGATGGTGTCACAGCTGGTTATCTCAAGGAACATGTGTTGGACGACTTCTTTAAGAGCTTCTGGGTACGGCGCATGGCTTTGGATAAGCGCAACTACCGTCAAGTGGTTGAGACCACGGTCGATATCGGCCAAAAGGTCGGTGTCAGTGAGATTCTCGAGAGAATCGTGGTCAACCTCAAGGACGAAAGCGAAGCCTACCGGAAAATGACTGTTGAGACAGTGGAGAAGATAGTGGCCTCTCTGGGTGCGGCAGACATTGGCGAGCGGTTGGAAGAGAGACTTGTCGATGGTATCCTGCACGCCTTCCAAGAGCAAAGCGTTGAAGACATTATCATGCTCAACGGTTTTGGCTCCGTGGTCAATGCTCTGGGCACTCGCTGCAAGCCATACCTCCCCCAGATCGTCAGCACAATTCTCTGGCGTCTCAACAACAAGTCTGCCACAGTTCGCCAGCAAGCTGCTGATCTTGTTTCCAGAATTGCCATGGTGATGAAGCAATGCGGCGAAGACGCTTTGATGGGCAAGCTCGGTGTTGTTCTTTACGAATACCTCGGTGAAGAATATCCTGAAGTTCTCGGCTCCATCCTTGGTGCTCTGAGGTCCATTGTGACTGTGGTGGGCATCAGCCAAATGCAGCCACCCATCAAGGACCTTTTGCCACGCCTCACACCCATCCTGCGCAACCGACATGAGAAAGTCCAGGAAAATACCATTGACCTGGTCGGCCGTATCGCCGACCGCGGACCGGAAAGTGTCAACGCTCGCGAGTGGATGAGAATCTGCTTTGAGCTGTTAGATATGCTCAAAGCCCACAAAAAGGGCATCCGTCGCGCGGCCAACAACACGTTCGGCTTCATCGCCAAAGCCATCGGCCCCCAGGATGTGTTGGCCACCCTTCTTAACAACCTCAGAGTGCAGGAGCGTCAGTCACGTGTCAATACCGCCGTTGCCATTGGTATCGTTGCCGAGACTTGCGCTCCTTTCACTGTCCTCCCCGCCTTGATGAACGAGTACCGGGTGCCGGAACTCAACGTCCAGAACGGTGTTCTCAAGTCGCTCTCTTTCCTCTTTGAGTATATCGGCGAAATGGCCAAGGACTACGTCTACGCTGTTACACCCCTCTTGGAGGATGCCCTCATCGACCGTGACCAAGTCCATCGGCAAACTGCCGCTTCAGTCGTCAAGCATATTGCGCTGGGCGTGGTAGGGTTGGGGTGTGAAGATGCCATGGTTCACTTGCTGAACTTGCTGTATCCTAATCTGTTTGAGACGAGCCCGCACGTCATTGACAGGATTGTCGAAGCGATTGAAGCGGTGAGGATGGCGGTGGGGCCGGGGTTGGTGCTGAATTATGTTTGGGCTGGGCTTTTCCATCCAGCGAGGAAGGTGAGGACGCCGTATTGGAGGTTGTATAATGATGCGTATGTGCAGGCTGCGGATGCGATGGTGCCGTATTATCCTAATTTGGCGGAGGAGGGGGTTGATAGGGGGGAGTTGGCGATTGTTTTGTAAAGGGATGACGGGGTGGTAGTGGTGTTGGGGTTGGTAGTTGAAGGTGGTGGTTGGCTTTGCTTTCTTGACATGTGATATTTAGAGGATGGGAGTAGGGAAACAAAAGCAAGCGAGTGGAAGAAATGGAAAGAAGTAAATATTATGATGATGGGGGTTTCTGTTGGCTATGGTGGGTGTTGAAGGCGTATTTACAGATGTAATGATACAAGTTTTGTGTTCATGTGTTGGGATTGAAGTCATGGTCGTTTACAGTCTCGTGACTGCCTGATGTTGTGTCCATCAAGGTGACTACTATCAAACTTCTGCTCTTCAACTGTCCTAGGTGAATGGCCATATGCTGCTATGGGCCGCTATCCATTCAGGGGTTGAGTCCTCTCCGATTGTCATCAATAAACAAACAAGCCACGGGATAGAGCACAACACAGCAGGCCAACTTGCTGATTAAACTAGACATCTACCACTACCGACAGTCAGGCTTCATTGGCTTTCTCCGACTGCACCATCTCAGAATTGCTCACTTCCACCAAGCCGGACCCTTTACCTGAGCCCATTTGCCTGACCAGCAAACAGTCCACCACGGAGCATAAGCACCCAGGCACATATCATTTGCAGTCACACAGCATACGTTCCACCATTTCTTCTTCGAAAATTCCCATCATCTATCCCACTTAACCTCCTTCCCCCACTGTCTCTTCAAGAGCAGTCCCCTCCCCAATTCTAACACCGCCACTTCCCATTTTGCGGTCTTCCAACAGTAAGGTATTATGACAATACACAGCCAGCCCGTCCGTCCACCTCGGACTCGGTGAATTTCCGCCGACCAC